GTTTCAGATGAAGGACTGCGAGGCTATAGTTCTTCCTACAAATCAGAAAAGTCTGTTTCAAAACCTTTCATTTCCACTCAGCCTACAGTATGAGCCCACATCCATGCACTACATCAAGTAATTTAAAGATGGCTTTTAAAACAGGAGAGCTGTGAAAATAAACCTGAGTTTCAGTTTCACACATCACAAAAGTTTCCATTTCATCACAAATATACTTTCAAAATAAAATGGGTGTACTGTCGATGAAAATTATTTCTCTGAAACTAAAAAATAATTAAAACAATGAAGAGTAGACCAGGATTTTCAGATCCTAAGACTACTTCAGCTTTACTGCATCTGTAGCGCCCCTGGTTTTGTCAGCAACCAGCCCAAGAAAGCTTCTGTCATGGTCATCAGGATACCACAATAGTTGCCAATTACACCCCAAACCCCAAAACTTGACAGGACCAAAGCAAATGTTTCCTCTTCAATCCACATGAATAAAATCTTCAATAGTAAAATAACACAAATAATAACATTATATATCCCAGGAGGTTCTATCATTTTCATAACCCATAAAACCCTCAATTTGGAAATATTTCCTATCAGTTCTGCCTGATGTTACAAGGGTGGACTTGTCTTCCTAAACCAGGAGTACAAATCTCTGTAAATCATGACATCTGATTCCAGATGTTAAGACTTCTTGAGTGCCATCCTTTGAATTCATCAAGCATATTTAGCATTGATGCCTCCAATGGCTTCTCAAATGAGAAAAGATCTATAAGTTGTTTTTAACTTCTGAAATAAAGAGCTCAATACTATTTTAGGCTATACAAGGACACTTCAAAAAGTTCATGGGAAATGGAATTAAACGATGTTTATTTGGGCACAAAAAATACTTTGAAATGCATGCAGTTTTGTCATAATGCACATTTTCTGTGAGCTTTTTTTTTAATACACCATTTTTAAGTGCATTTATTTCTAAAGTGATGCTGCAAAAACACTAGAGAAAGAGGAAATACACTTCCACTCCAAACCTGTACCCAGGTCATCTTCGCTCGGGTGGTTTATTCGCTCAACCACCCCACCTCCGTCTGGGGCCACAGCCACCTGGAAGGCCTCTTCCTGCCGCCCAGGATGTTGAGAGGACAGACGACGATTTTTGCCCTGCCCCCAATCTTTTACCACGTCTCACTCTCCTCCAGGCCACTTTCCCGCCCCTTCTATGAACCTTCTGAAGCCTTACTCCAGAATTAAATAGTGATTCTAATTTTAAAATATTTACTTTACTTAAAATGTATTGTTTAATATTTGGTATTTATATACTTGCAAGGCAGAGGACAAAGAGAGAAAGAGAGAGAGAAAACTTTCATCTGTTGGTTCACCTCCAAAATGGCCACAACAGCCAGGGTGGGGACAGGCTGAAGCCAGGAGTCAGGAACTCCATATCTGAGTCTTCCACATGAGTGGCAGGAACTCAAATACGTGAGCCACTGAATCCACTGATACCCAGGCACATTAATAGGGAGCTGGACTGGAAACAAAGTAACTGGGACTCCAACTGGTGCTCTGATATGGAATGCAGGCATCCCAAGGGGTAGCCTAATCTGCTGCTCTAATGCCCACCACAAAATTTATTATATGGTTGGATAAAGGTCTGAACATCATCTGTTAAAAAACTATCACCGGGGCCAGCGCTGTGGCGCAGCGGGCTATATCATACTAGCCTGAACCGCCAGCATCCCACATGGGCGCCAGTTCAAGACCCGGCTGCTCCACTTCTGATCCAGCTCTCTGCTAGAGAGCTCTCTGCTGTGGGAAAGCAGTAGAAGATGGCCCAAGTTCTTGGGCCCCTGCACCCATGTGGGAGACCAGGAAGAAGCTCCTGGCTCTTGGCTTCGGATCGGCGCAGCTCCAGCCATTGCGGCCATTTGGGGAGGAACCAGCGGAAGGAAGACCTTTCTCTCTGTCTCTCCCTCTCACTGTCTGTAACTCTATCTCTCAAATGAATAAATAAAATTTAAAAAAAAAAAAAAAACTATAACCTTCCTCTTCTGATTTTAAAAGCATCTCTTTCACCACCAGGAAGCCAATACTGGAATTTCCGTTGCTTTACCACACTTTAATAACTGATAAGAAAAAGCCTCTCATTATTTTTGCTTTTCCTATTTTTCTTGCTCAAATTTTGTTTTATTTGTCAAAAGATTTTTTTTTTTCTGTACTCAGTAAGTGTTTATTGGTTTACAGAAGACAGATTAACTTCACAGTAATTCTGCTAAAGACTCACCAGGATTGTGCTTGGAATTACATTAAAAATTTGGAATCATTGTGACAATCAGTAATTTCTTCCAGTCTTTATTTTAATCTTTAAATATACTTCCTTCATAAAGAACACCTACATTTCTTAGTAACTTTATTCCCTGGAGTCTTGTACTTCATTTAGTAGATACTGCTTAGGATTTACTCCAAGCTCTAGCCCTTATTAGCTGTGTGAATGACCAAGTCACTTACTCTCCCCAAGCCTCAATTTCTTATTATAATATCTACCTAGTAAGATTGCTATGAGACGATGTATGTATGGGAAAGAGTTTACATGGAGACAAACTAGCAGGGAAAAATGTTCAATAACTGTTAGCTAACATTTTAAGACTAGTAAGACCATTCTCCAAAAATATTTTCCAAGTAGTTATTGCTTGTTTGCAGGAAAGTTGCTGATGTTTCCACATTTATATTGTGTCCAAACTTAAGGGTACCTAAAAAATTCAGAGTTTATTTTGCTGCAAAAAAAAAAAAAAAAAAAAAAACTGAAATGGACATATATGGGGGGGTCTTCAAAAAGTTAATGGAAATATGTATTCTGAAGAAAACTGTGCTTGGATTTCAAAATCTCTGTGCAGAGGCCAGCACTAACGTTGCAGGTAAAGCCGCCACCTGCAATGCTGGTATTCTATATGGGCACTGGTTCAAGTCCAGGTTGTTACACTTCCAGTCCAGCTCCCTGCTAATGCACCTGGGAAAGCAACAAAAGATGGCCCAAGTGCTTTGGCACCTGCACCCATAGGAGACCCAGATGCAGTTCTAGGCTTCCGGCTTCAGCCTGCCTAGTCCTCCCGGCTATTGTGGTCATTTGGGGAGTGAACCAGCAGATGGAAGACCTCTCTGTCTCACCATCTCTCTGTGTAACTGACTTTCAAATAAATAAAACAAATGAAAAAAATTTTTTTTTCTGTGCACCAAATACTTACCTTTTACTAATCTGTTTTTAAAGATTTTTTTTTTCTTTGAAAGGTAGAGTTACAGTGAGAAGAGGAGAGACAGAGAGAGAGAGATTGATTGATTCTATCTGCTGGCTCACTCCCCAAATGGCTACAACAGCCAGGGCTGGGACAGGCTGAAGCCAGGAGCCAGGAACTTTATCCACATCTCCCACATGGGCACAGGGGCTCAAGTACATGGGCCATCTTCTGCTGCTCTTCCAAGTGTGTTAGCAGAAAGCTGGATAGGAAGTAAAGCAGCCAGAAATCAAATTTATACCAGTATTGGATGCCGGTGTTACAGGTGGTGGTGGCTTTACGTGCTATGCCTCAGTGCCGGCCCAATACTTCTCTTTTAATGCCATTTTCCCCACAAATTTTTGAAGTAACTTCACCTATACCCTGAACATTCTTACTACTATTAGTAATTTTTCAGTTACTTCTCTGAATGGCAAAAAACATTAGCTACTTAAAATCAAATACAGAAGAAATAAAAAATATATATATTAGAAAAAAGGTATTTAAATATTACAAAAAACTACTAAAAGATAAATGAATTGGAAACATTTTCAACAAACAGTTTATGTAAGAAGTTAATTTATTTAACCTAGCCAATAGAACAAAAAGAATAATTCAATAAACTATGATAAAACAAATGACTGGTTACACAGAAAACATTTAAACTGGATTCTCAACATAAACCATATGTTGGGGCCAGCAAGGCAGCTCAGCAGATTAAGCTGACACTTGCAACACTAGCATGCCACACTGGATTGAAGGTTTCAGTCTTGGCTGCTCCACTCCTGACCCAGCTAGCTGCTAAGGTGCCTGGGAAGACAAAGGAAGATGGCCCATGTACTAGGGTCTTGCCACCCATGTGGGAGACCAGGATGGAGTTCCATACTCTTAGATTCAGTTCAACCCAGACCCAGTCATTGTGGCCATTGGGTAGTGAACCAGCACATAGAAGGTCTTTCTCTCTCTCTTCCTCTCTTTCAAATAAATAAATGAATAAGTAAACCCTTAATAAATCATATGCCAACATAAAGGACAGAAAGAACAAAGAATCAAAGTTAAAATTAAATCTTAAAAATTTTAGAGGACCATTCCTAGCAGTATTATTTATAATAGCAAAAGAACTGAAAATAATTCAAATGTCAATTTAGGAAAGTTTACCTACTATAATTATTGTTTATTTCTGCCCCTCTCCATGCTCCAGGCCCACACTACAATACAAACTCCACAAAAACAGGGACTTTTGGGGGGATGGGGGTTTTTTCATTGATGTGTTCTAAAAGGCTGTGCCTAACATAGGGAACAATCCATAAATATTTGCTGAAGGAACGGTCCATCACCAGGAGAATGGATATTCATATGATAAGACAGTATACACCAGCAAAAATGAACTATAATTAACACACATCATGGATCAGTCTCAGAAATATCATACTGAATGAAAGAAGTTTTAGAGTACTACATATATTTTTAAATGCAAAATTATGAAAAAAGTTTGTATTTTTTTCATAATTTTCATATGTATGGTATTTCAGGTAGAAGTTTTGAACAGTATACCTGAAGAGGGACAATTAAGACATTATTTTGAAAAATGTAAAAGTTATGGAAACACATTTATTGTAACTCACAAAATTTAGTTTCTTAATTCAATAAACACTACTCAGGAATTAAAAGCAGAAATAAAGTTTCAATATCAAGTCACTTACAAAACTGTAAAATAAAATATTCAATAATGGTTAAAATAAAACATACCGATAAGTTCAGGTGGATTTCTGTCATTAAACCGCTCACACAGACGAATAAATGTATTAGTAACCTCAGTTGTAGGGCACTCACCATGTCTAGTAATATGGAGGGAAAAATTTTAATAAGTGATTAAAATATCAATGAAAAGCTTTGGTATTAAACAATCTTAACACATAACTTACCCTTTACACTGAAGTTTTATATATTTGATTCCTTCTTTTTCTATGTCATTTCTATCATAAAACCTTGAAGTATTTGTCAGGTCTACCAACAAGCCCATTTTAACCTTAAAATAAAAAGAAAGAAGGGCAGAATTACTAGCAACTGAATTTGTTCCAAAATAAGTTTACTAAAGACACTAGAGTTCAGGTATCTGTATTAAGGGAGATTTTATGTTCACTCTGTTGTTAACAATTACCAAGTCTTATTCACGACTCTAGAACTTAGCAAGCATTCAATGAAATAAACTAATCCACAAACTAATGAAGGAACAAGAACATAGCAAAACAGATCCCATTTCCAACATCACAAAAATTTACCCAGAAAACACTATTGTAGTTATATATATATATACACATATATATTATAATATATATATTTCTGCACCTTTGATTTATTAGATAAGAATCTAGAACAGGGATGGCATCTATTTGAAACACACAGCAACTCAAGCTCCATACGTCCATCACTCCCAGCATTCCAAGTAGCCACCTCCAATGAATATCTGTTAACTATACCATACTATATCCTACAACTGAGGCCTAAAAGATAAAAGAGCTGGAGGCAGGCTTTCAGCATGGCAGTTAAGACACGATTGGGACACCACATCCTATTTCAGAGCACCTGGTCCAAGTCCTGGCTCCTCCACTTCCCATTTCCAACACAGCTACCTGCTATTTGTGCATCCTGGAAATCAGCCGATGATGGCTCAAGTACCTGGGTCCCTGCCACTGACATGGGAGACATAAAATGAGTTCCCAGCTCTTGGATTCAGCCTGGCTTAACCTTGGCTGTTGTGGGCACTGGGGAGTAAACCAGTGGATGAAAGATCTCTCCTCAACTCCTTTCAAATAAAATGAAAATTTTAAAAATTTCCCAATGAGACAAGCCATTTATGCCATTCAGTGGTGGGGAAACTTTTTCTAAACCAAGGGTCATTTGGATATTTATAACCTCATTCACGGGCCATACAGAATTATCAACTTAAAAAATCAGCTTGCTGAGGCTAGCACTGTGGCATAGAAGGTTAAGCTTCTGCCTGCAGTGCCAGCAACCCATATGGGCACCAGTTCCAGTTCCAGCTGCTCCACCACCAATGCAGCTCCCTGATAACAAGCCTGGGGAAAGCAGCAGAAGACAGCCCAATTACTTAGGACCCTGCACCCACATGAAAAGCTGGAAAAAGCTCCTAGCTTCAGCCAGGCCCAGTAAAGGCCATTGCAGCCATTTAGGGAGTGAACCAGTGGATCAAAAATTCTCTCGGGGCTAGCACTGTAGCATACCAGGTAAAGCTACTGCCTGCAGTGTCGGCATCGCACATGGGTTCTGGTTCAAGTCCCGGCTGCTCTGCTTCCAATCCAGCTCCCTGTTGATGCTCCTAGGAAAGCAGCAGAAGATGGTCCAAGTCCTTGGGTCCCTACACCCACAAGGGAGACCCAGATGAAGCTCCTGGTTCCTGGCTTCAGATAGGCCCAGTTTCAGCCATTGCAGCCATTTGGGGAGTAAACCAGCAGATGGAAGATCTCTGTGTGTGTGTGTGTGTGTGTGTGTGTCTCTGCCTCTCTATAACTCTTTCAAATAAATAAATCTTAAAAAAAAAAAAAAAAGATTTTTCTCTCTTTTGAACCAGTGGAAAGATATCTCTCTCTACCATTCAAATAAATAAATAAATAATTTTTTTCAAGATTAGCCTGCTATAGATTCATTGAATTTCGAGTCTTGGCAAGGCCAGACCAAACGATTTCACAGGCCATACACAGCCTGTAGTCAGATGTTTACCATCCCTGCCTAGTATGTATGTATGGATGGATAGACAGATGGACATATCAATAGATCCCTGTGTATCCTACTAAAAACCCTTCTATTTTCTGAAAATACACTGATGCCAAAGTTATATTCTTTGAAAGGGTTAAAAGGGTTAAAAATGAAGATGGTAAGATAAGACAGCAATTTCCCTCTTCTCTTCCTGGATATCCTACAAAAACCGGGTAATGGGGCACATAAAACCTATATATACATAAAAATGTCTAGGTTCTTCCATGCCAGTATGCCACAGCACCAACCCCTTTCCAGAAAGACTTAAGAATACTGAAGAAGCTATGTGGGAAGGAAGAATAGAAAAGCAGACATGAGATGGCAGATTTCAGAAAATGCCAATACAAATGTATTTCCTTTAATTTAGATCTCATCCTCAACTGGTGGGCTTATAAGCTTTCTACAGACAGCAGACTACAGTAAAGCAGAAGCAATGCAGAGCACAATATGCAAGGAAGACACAGAGTAAAAATGAGACTGTCAATAAATAAAATGCAAGCACAAAAGGAACCACCCAGGTCAATCAGTAAGAGACTAAATAAATAAATCAAGGTAAACATTCTAATACTATGAAACTATTTTTAAAAAAGAAAGTTCAGCCAGCGCCGCGGCTCACTTGGCTAATCCTCCGCCTGCAACGCCAGCACCCCGAGTTCTAGTCCCAGTCAGGGTGCCGGATTCTGCTCCGGTTGCTCCTCTTCCAATCCAGCTCTCTGCTGTGGCCTGGGAAAGCATCGGAGGATGGCCCAAGTGCTTGGGCCCTGCACCCACATGGGAGACCAGGATAAGTACTTGGCTCCTGGCTTCAGATCAGCACAGCCTTAGCAGCCACTGGGGGGTGAACCAACGGAAAAGGAAGACCTTTCTCTCTCTCTCTCTCTCACTGTCCACTCTGCCTGTCAAAAAAAAAATTTTAAATAAAGAAAGAAAGAAAGAAAGTTCACTATGTATTAATATTTGAAAATCTTGAGAATATACTATTAGGTTTAAAAACTAAGGTTCGGGGCAGGGGCTAAGATGTTGTGGCACAGTAGAATAAGCACCCACTAGCCACACCAGCATCCCCTATCAGAATGCCAATTCAAGTCCCAGCTTCTCTGCTTCCAATCCAGCTTCCTACTAATAGGCCTGGGAAGGCAACAGAAGATAGCCTAAGTACTTGGGCCCCTGCTGTCCATTTGACAGACCAGGATGGACTTCCCTAACTCCTGGTTTTGGTCACGCCCAGCCAATAGCTGCTGTGGCTATTTGGGGATTGAACTAATGGATGGAAGATATCTGTGTGTGTGTGTGTGTGTGTGTATGTGCGTGTGTTTCTCTGTGTCTCTCCTCTATCCCTCTGCCCTTCAAATAAATTTTTAAAAATCTCATTTTTTAAAAAAGTAAGGTTCAGGGGCCAGCACCACAGCATAGTAGATTAAGACTCCACTTACAGTGCCAAAATCCCATATGGGTGCCAATTTGAGTTGAGTCCCAGCTGCTCCACTTTTGATCCAGCTCCCTGCTAATATGCCTGGAAAAGTAGCAGAAGACAGCCCAAGTCCTTGGTCCCCTGCACCCACATGAGAGGCATGGAAGAAGTTCCTGGCTCCTGGCTTCAGATCAGCCCAGCTCCAGCAGTTGTAGCCATTTGGGGAGTGAAACAGTGAATGAAAGACCTCTCTCTCTGTGCATCTCTCCCTCTCTCTCTGTAACTCTGCCTTTCAAATAAATAAATCAATCTTTTAAAAAAAGGTAAGTTTGAGATCAACATATATAATATGCTAACTTGAATATAAAGAGGAGAAAATAATTGAATAACTAAAAAATCTAGAAATAGTGAAACCCATGAGGGATGTGGTTAGGGACTGGGCAGCTAGAGGGCAAAAGAAGACTTTTCAAGATCTAACATGAGTGGAAGTATTATTTATTTTGAAATTAAAAAATAAAAATGAGAGCAGGCATTTAACTAGCAACTGAGATGCCTGCCTCCCATATCACAGTAGCCAGGTTCAACTCCTGGCTCTAGCTCCTGACTCCAGCTTCCTGCCAATGCAGACTGTGGAAGGCAATGGTGATGATTCAAGTGTTTGGGTTCCTGCCACCAACATGGGAGCCTAAGACTTCCTGGCTCCAGGCTTCGGCCCCATCTCAGCGCCTATCACTGAAGATACTTGGGAAATAAACCAACAGATGAGCTCGCTCGCTCTCTCTCTCTGTGAATCTGTCTCTCAAATAAGTAATTTTCTAAAAATATAAAAATAAAATTGCAGCACCATTTGGTAGAGCAGTTAAGATGACAACTGGGACACCTATGTTCCCTTTGAAAATGTCTGGGGTCAAGTCCCAGCTCTGCTCTCAATTCCAGCTTCCTCTTGGTGTGCATCCTGGGAGGCAGCTGGTGATGGCTCAAGGGTCTCTGCCTGCTATGTAGAGACCTGAATTAGTTTCCTGGTTCCCAGCTTCAGCCTGACCCATTCCTGGCCTCTACAAGCATTTGGGGAGTGAACCAGAAGGTAAGAGCTCTATCAGTCTATCTGCCTTTGTCTCTCTGCCTCTCAAATAATTTTTAAATGAAAATAATTTTAAATGACAATAAAAAAGAGCATTAAGGTAGACTCATATCTTAGGCAGTTAAATTCTAAAATAAATACATAGGGGCAAAAGTAGGTACAGTTAAAATTCTATTGTAAATTCCTTAAATAACCAATAGAAAACAATACACATAGTCATACACTGTGTATCTCTTTGGAGACTTACTCCCATCTCACAATAAATCCATCACAGACAGTTTTTCTTTCTGGGTTGAAACAAAAATCATTATTCCTTCTGTTGAACACTAACTGCAATGGTTGGATTGTGTTCAGGGGCCATGTGGTGTGAAGAATCTTTAGAAAAATAGAATCACATTCAGCCTGGCAAGACAGTCTCACTAAGCAATGCATGAGTGAACTAAGCTCAAAGGAACAGCTAATTCACACATCTTCCACCTCATTCTGACGCATATGCTCTCTGGCAAGAATAGCGAGAGAAACAATCTGTACTGTTAAATCATTCTTTTTCTCTCCTTTTTATTGGTTTTATTGACTTCCTAATGTTGGATTTGCTTAAATAATGATTAGAATCCACTGCTAAGGGGGAAATTATGACCAAAACATTTAAACTTCACATATGGCAAAACAGACAAAAATGTATACTTCTAAAATAGTAGGAGTCTCCAAAAAGTTCATGAAAAAAAAGTGTGTATTCTGAAAAAACTACGAGTGCATTTTGAAAACCTCTGCACCAAAATAAAATTTATCTTTTAATTCCGTTTTTCATGAGCTTTTAAGTTCTCGTGTAAGGATAATGCTAGTTTCTACCTCAGAGCTGTCATGAGATGTAGATGCATCCCTAGTCTTTGCCAAGCACTGTTCTACATACTTTACATGTACTCGGTTGTTTAATTTTGTAAGATGAGGAAACTGAAACATGAAAACGCAAATTTTTAAGTGACAAACTGGGAATCAAATTCACAATACTTGGCTTCCAAGTCCAAGTTCTTACTTAGCACACTGCCAAGAATGTTTTCAACATTCTACAAATGTTAGCTATGATTTTCAATATGATTACTGATAATGATAACAAACAGTTTATGAGCTATAAGATATAAACAAATGACTGAAGGCTCACCAAGAAAAGGAATGAATAACAGGTTTTCAAAATCTAAGTGGTTATTACTTTTCAATCTCATAATATAAGCCTTGCATATAATGGGAACTAGTGTTCACTCAATGTGCTAATACAGCATACAATAACAGACTACCAGTAGTAAATAAACCAGTAATGATGATTGGTATTGTGAGTTGACTTCCGTCCTGTAAGAAGATGTGTTCAAATCCCAAAGAACCTATAAACGTGACCTTATCTGGAAATAGGGCAATAAGGTCTTTGCAGATGTAATCAAGTTAATTCTTGCTGGATTACGGTGGGCTCTAATCAAATGACTGGTGTTCCTCACAAGAAGAAAATGTGAAGATGGAGACACACAGGGAAAATATCATGTGACTGACCATGGAAGCAGAGACTAGAATGATGAAGCCACAAAACAAAGAGCACAGGGGCCAGCACTGTGTTGTAGCGGGTAAAGCTGCTGGCTGCTCCACTTCCAATCCAGCTCTCTGCTATGGCTGGGAAAGCAGTGAAAGATGGTCCAAGTCCTTGGGCCCCTGAACCAGCTTCCTCCTGGTTCCTGGCTTCAGATAGGCCTGCCTCTGGCCATTGTGGCCATTTGACAAGTGAACCAGTGGATAGAAGATCTCTCTCCCTGTCTCTGCCTCTGCCTCTCTGTGACTCCACCATTCAAATAAATAAATAAATCTTAAATTAAAAAAAAAAAAAAAAGAGCACCAAGGATGGCACGGTCTGACTCTGAGCCTCCACAAATCACTTTGATTTCAAACTGCTGGCTTCCAAAAATGACAGACTAAATATCTGCTCTTGCAAGCTACCCAGTCGGTAGTACTTTTTCACAGCAGTCCTAGGAAACTAACACAACTGGTATTATGATAGAATAATATTTAAAAAACACACACACACAAAGGTTCATTTACTCTTAAAAAGCTACCTGATAGGTAATAAAATGGGAAAGCAGTCTAGAAGAGAGTTTGGCAATTTCCTGTAAAACTAAACATGCATTTATCCTATGACCAACAATCATATACGTCAGAGGGCGGTGATCCCAGACAAAGGAATACTTCCATTCACACAGAACACCACACAGGAATGTTCACAGCACCTTTTATTACCCCACAACTGGGAAAACCCAAACATCCTTCAGCAAGAGAAGTAGTACATGCATGCAACTTAATACTACTCAGCAACAAAAAGAACCAAACTTTTAGTTGATACATGCAACAACCTCCACAGCTCTCAAGCCCATTATGCTAGGGGGTGGGGATTCCCAAAAGGTCACATCCTATTCTATTCCATTTATACAACATTCTCACAGGGACAAAACTACCGTGATGAAAATAAATTAGCAGCAGCCAGGGTGGCAGGGAAAGAGTCTGACTGTAAGTGGTAGCTTGACAGTGTTCCTTTGTGGAAGCATAGAAGGTTTGTAATCACAGCAGAAATTTACATGGGATCTACCTGTACAGGACTGCACATACACAGATACCTAAATAAATACCTAAATAAAGTCTAGTTGACAAAACTATGCAAATGCTGATTTTCCTGCTTTTCATATTGTGCCTCAATCATATAAAATGTCACCACTGGGAAAAGCTAGGGGAAGTATTCTTTGTACAAATTTTGCAACTTCTGAGTGTATTAATTGTATCAAAATGAAAAAAGTTTTCTTAAAGGTGCCTAAAGAACAAAAGAAAATGTATATTAAATCAAGTTTTTGATTCTTACCTTTAGACTCTTTAGATAATTTGAGAGCATACTTGGATGGAATCGATTTTCTTCAGCAACTTGACTATCATATCTTGGTCCTAACATTGTCTTCAGAGGTAAGAATCTTCCTAAACAACATTAAGATAGGTAGTAATTTTTAGTAAAGAAAATGTTCCAAGTTAAAGCCCTACAATTAGCAGTTTATAAAACCACTTTCTTACTATACTATATTTTAAATGAAAAAATAATCTATAAATGCAACTTTTCATGAAGTACTCTCAATGGAAACTAAACTGTTATGATTTGAATATCTTCCCAACCAAGTCAGTTTAGTCCCCAAAGTATTACATTAATGGCAATGAAAGAGCAGAAAACATAATCCAGTCATGCTGCCTGTTGGTGGTGGCTTGGATTAAGTTGTTGGGTGGGGCCCATGACTGAAACCTGGAGAAGGGCCACACAGAGATATAGACATGCATACTTCCTGTCTCTTGCCATGAGGTACTCCGTGCCACCTCAGGATTCTGCCAGCAAGATAACCATCACCACAGACTGAACCCATGGGGCCCACCTGATGCTGCACTGTAAATCTCCACAACTGGAGCCAAAATAAACTCTTCTTTATAAAGTACCCTGCCTCAGTTATTTCATTATAGTAATGAAAGGCTAATACATAAGCTTTTTAAAAGTATACCTTGGAGGACTTAAAGAGGCATTTTTCAAAAGAGGAAATCCAAGTGGTCAACAGACACATGAAAAATTGTTCAGGATCACTAGCCATCAGGGAAATGCAAATCAAAACCACAATGAGGTTTCACCTCACCCTGGCTTTCATACAGAACAACAAACAACAGATGCTAGCAAGGATGTGGGGGAAAAGGCACACTAATCCACTGTTGGTGGGAATGCAAACTGGTAAAGCCACTATGGAAGACAGTTTGGAGACACCTCAAAATTCTGAATACAGCCCTACCATATGACCCAGCCATACCACTCCTCAGAATTTACCCAAGGGAAATTGAATTGGCAAGTCAAAGAGCTATCTGCACCTCAATGTTTATTGCAGCGCAATTCACAATAGCTAAGACATGGGATCAACCTAAATGCCCATCAACAGAAGACTGGATAAAGAAATTATGGGACATGTACTCTATGAAATACTACCCAGAGGTAAAAAAAAAAAAAAAAATGAAATCTGGTTATTTGCAGTAAAATGGAGGAATCCGGAAAACATCATGCTGAGTGAAATAAGCCAGTCCCAAAGGGGCAAATATATGTTCTCCCTGATCTGTTACAACTAACTGAACACCCAAAAGAAAATCTGTAGAAGTGAAACTGACACTATGAGAAGCAATGACTTGATCAGCCCTTGTCCTGTTGAGGAATCGCTTACTATTTTTTTTTTTTTTTTTTTGGACAGGCAGAGTGGACAGTGAGAGAGAGACAGAGAGAAAGGTCTTCCTTTTGCCGTTGGTTCACCCTCCAATGGCCGCCATGGCCAGCGCACTGCGCTGATCCAAAGGCAGGAGCCAGGTGCTTCTCCTGGTCTCCCATGGGGTGCAGGGCCCAAGCACTTAGGCCATCCTCCACTGCACTCCCGGGCCATAGCAGAGAGCTGGCCTGGAAGAGGGGCAACCGGGACAGAATCCAGCACCCCAACCGGGACTAGAACCCAGTGTGCCAGCGCCACAAGGCGGAGGATTAGCCTATTGAGCCACGGCGCCGGCCTATTTTTAGTATTTTCTTTTTCTACTTAATATCACTGGTTGAATTCTTTACTTAACACAGAATTATTCTTAGGTGTTTAAATCCAATTAAAAATTGATCCCTTTTAAAAATAAGAGTGGGAATAAGAGAGGGAGGAGATGTACAGTGCGGCACACATTCCCTCAGACTTACCCCTAAGGGTAAAGCTAAAAACTTGCCATGGGACTCCAAATCCCATTAAGTTGGCAGGTACCAATGCCATCTTATTGTTAAAGTGATCAGTTTAAGTTCATAACTGTTCATAATTGATCATAAAGATAGAATTAAGTGTCAAAGGGATCACATAAATAAAACCAAGTGTCTGCTAATAATAATTGATAGAATTAAAAAGGAGAGAATGGTCCAACATGGTAAACAGGACACACAGCAGACTCATAGAATGGCAAATGCCCTAAACAGCACTCTGGCCTCAGAATCAGCCCTTAAAGCATTTGGATCTGCCTAAAAAAGCCCATGCGAGCATTTCAGGCATGGAAAGCCAAGACACTGTGGCAAAAAAAATGACCTACATGAAAGATCTCTGTGAATGAGATCTTGGTGGAAAGAAGGGACCATTTTTGAAGGAGGTACCTTTCTCTGAAGGGAGGAAAGAACTTCCATTTTGATTATGGCCCTGTCTAAATAATGTCAGAGTCTGTGGACTCAACAGGCTTCCATAGCCTTGGCAGCTCATGACAAGAGCCTCAGGTGATCACTGATGTCACAAATAAGAGTGTCAATTGTTAAATCAACAACAGGAATCACTGTGTACTTGCTCCCCATGGAGGACCTCTGTACTTAATGTGTTGTACTATGAGAATTAACAGTAAATTTAGTCTTTAAACAGTACTTTATACTTTGTATGTCTGTATGGGTGCAAACTGTTGAAATCTGTTGATCTTCTATATATAAAGATAATTTAAAATGAATCTTAATGAAGAATGGGATGGGAGAGTAGAAGGTGGGACGGTTTGGGGGGGGAGGGCGGGTATGGGGGGAAGAACCACTATAATCCAAGAGTTATACTTATTGAAATTTATATTTATTAAATAAAAGCTTTCTATAAAAAAAAAGTACACCTTGGAGGAGAGAACTTCCACTTTGCTTATGGCCTTGTCTAAATACTGACGGAGTTTGTGGTCACAAAAGGCTTCCATACCCTTAGCAGCTCACGGCAAGAGTCTTGGGTGATCACTGACTACATAAATAAGAGTGCTAACTATTAAATTAACAACAGAAGTCACTGTGCACTTACTCCCATGTAGGAACTCTGTCCATAATGAGTTGTACTATGAGAATTAACTGCAAAACTTGTTCTCAAACAGAACTTTATACGTTGTATGTGGGGGGGGGGGGTATAAAATACTGAAATCTTTACTTAGTATAGAGTTGGTCTTCTGTATTAAGAATGTTAATTAAAAATGAATCTTCATGAAGAATGGGATGGGAGAAGAAGTAGGAGGTGGAATGAGAGAGGGAGTAGGAGGTGGAACAAGAGTCGGGGTGGTAAGGTGGGTATAAAGGAAAAAACCACTATATTCCTAAAGTTGTACCTATGAAATCTGCATTCATTAAATAAAATCTTTTAAAAAAAAAGGTACACCTTGGAACTTTTAAGGACAAAATAAAGTCTAGACCTTAACAATCAAACATAACAAAAGAAAAATTATCAGAGAATGAAACTTTCACAAACACTAAGTTCTAAACCACAACAACAAAAATTTATGGACTTGGAACATGTATTGTAGTACAGCAGGTTAAGCCATTGCTTTTAGTGGAACAGCCAGGATACGAAACAGCTCCCATACAGGATGCAAGTATTGAAGGCGGCCTTAGCCATTACGCAACAGTGCCAGCCCCTATAATGAAGTAAAGTAACTATTTACTATTCCTGATTATATGGTTTTTAACATTAATACTGGAATTTTCTCCATCTTAGGGACCTTATCCTACATCTCAGGGCAAAGATCACAGTAGGATATGCTATCATGCGAGGATGAAAACCAAACTCACTCTCCAAACAACTACAATTTCAGCAAAATAGACTGGCCTTTGAGGCCGGCACTTTAGTACAGCGGGTAAAGCTGCTGCCTGTAGTGCCAGCATCCCATATGGACAATGGTTCAAGACCCAACTGCCATGGGCCAGCGCCATGGTTCACTTGGTTAACCCTCCGCCTGCAGCACCACCCTCCCATATGAGCACCGGGTTCTAGTCCCAGTTGCTCCTCTTCCAGTCCGGCTCTCTGCTGTGGCCCGGGAGAGCAGTGGAGGACGGCCCAAGTCCTTGGGCCCTGCACCCGCATGGGAGACCAGGAGGAAGCACCTGGCTCCTGGCTTCAGAACAGCACAGCGCCAGCCATAGCAGTCATTTGGGGAGTGAACCAATGGAAAGAAGACCTTTCTCTCTGTTTCTCTCTCGCTGTCTAACTCTACCTATCAAATAAAAAAAAAAAAAAATGCCCAGCTGCCTCCACTTCCTATCCAGCTCTTTGGTATGGCCTGGGAAAGCAATAGAAGGCCCTTGTTGTTGGGCAGCTGCAACCACGTGGAAGACCCAGAAGGAGCTCCTGGCTCCTGGCTTTGGATCAGCCCAGCTCAGGCCATTGTAGCCATTTGGTGAATGAACCAGAGGATGAAGACCTTTCTCTCTCTCTGCCTCTGCTTCTCTGTAACTCTGCCTTTCAAGTAAATAAGTCTTTAAAAAAATAAAGACTGGCCTTTTATTCTGCATCACAATAGTGAAAAATCACCTTGTATGTAAATATTTAAATAATCTATTGTGACTGATATATATTTTCTTTTTTTGACAGGCAGAGTTAGAGAGAAAGAGAAAGGTCTTCTTTCCATTGGTTCACCCCCAAATGGCTGCTATGGCCGGCGCGCTGCGCCGATCCGAAGCCAGGAGCCAGGAGCTTCCTCCTGGTCTCCCATGTGGGTGCAGGGCCCAAACACTTGGGCCATCCTCCACTGCCTTCCCGGGCCACAGCAGAGAGCTGGCCTGGAAGAGGAGCAACCAGGACAGAATCCGGCGCCCCAACCGGGACTAGAACCCTGGAGTACTGGCACCGCAGGCAGAGGATTAGCCTAGTGAGCCGTGGCGCCGGCCGACTGATATATACTTTCAAACACAATAAAATCAGCAATAAGAATATCTGTTTAAAATAATATGTAAATGAAGTCTTAACATATATCTGTCCAGAGGCTTTAACCCATGTTTCAGGAAAAAAAATTAATTTTTTTAAGTTTTGTTTTCTACGAAACTATTCAAAGTCACCGATAAACTCAATTTTGCTAAACCCACTGGTCACTTCTCAGTCCTTACCTCACTTAAGCTCTCAGCAGCATAAGAGACAACTGAGGGAGTTCTTGAATCCTTTCTT